CTGCTGGTGTCATGCTACTGTAATGTAATAAATTCTTAAATTGTTGTAAAGTGCTGTTTTTGCCTTAAAATTTTATTTTGCGTGTCTTGAAAACTATGGTATTAAAGGTATTGATACTGTGCCAATGCTGGGCATGCCTGGCATGAGATAATCTGTTTCATTTTTATAAACTTGTAATAAAACTATGCAAGTGTTTATTAAAAGAACACAAAATAGAAAAAGTTATGGGATTAAAAAAAGTTATGGGGTGAAAAAGTTATGGGATAAAAAATGTAAAAAAGTTGTGGCAAAAAAACCTTTGGCAAAAAAGCAGAAAAAAGTTTCATGAAAAGTTGCAAAAAAATTATGAAAAAGAAGTTATGGGACTTAAAAAACAAGTCATGGGATAAAAATAAAAATTAAAAGCAGACCCCTGTCAGCAAAGCCTGGAGAAGCGGGGCCGGAGTCTCCACCGCCACCATGTCCCTACCACCGCTTCCCAGTCACCCCTTTACAATTAGGGTAGCAAGACAAGACCTCTGTCTAATGGGGAAAGACAAATAGACCCTTTGCCACCTTGACCAGGGCTGAGTCCTTAAATTTCTGGATGACAATGATTGTTATTTAAGAGCCAGAGGCTGGTGGAGTTGGTTTGTTTGGAGGAGGTCTGATGGCCTCATTACTCTCACCATAGCAACTTTTCCCTCAGGGGTGCTCCCAGCTTCTTATTCAGTGAGGTAACTGAGGCAGGACAGTGGGACTAACTGTGGACCAGGCAAGGGCATGGGCTGCTGGGATGGAACTTCTTCCCCAGGGTAAGTATTGTGTCTGTGTAACGTTTTGTATATTCCAGAGGATGGGGCCACCCCTGTATGGTACCTAGCTGTGGTTGGAGCTGGCATGTGGGGAGGAGGTTCTAATGATTATTTGTGGCTGGGAAACTTATTTATTGCTAGCATAGGACAGAGGAAGGAGGCGGGGATGGGGTCGTGGCTCCCTGGTGATGCGACTCCTGGTTATTTTCTTTTTATTTTGGAATAAACGGATTTAACCATACTCCTCGGCCTGGTGTGTTCCCGTTTCCCTCACTGGGTCCTGGAGTTTGTGCCACCGAACGAGGAGCCCCAGAGTGTCTTGAGCATGTCCAGCTAGGCTGTTGGGGACCTTCCAGGCCTGTTACCTGTATGCTGCCTGGTGGCACCTGGGGGATTCCACAGGGACTGCCATGGCGCCTATGGGGTGCAGTCTGGCCCTGACAGCCAACAGGCTCAGAAGCCTGATCTAGCGGAGGCCGGGAAGACAGGTATCAGCACCTAAGGGCACTGACTTCCACCCAGCCCAGGCGTCTTCCATTCCGTCCCCGTGCCTCCCTCTCCTGTCTGCACCTGGTGGCCTCTTCTGTCTGTCCCTCCAGAGTGCCGGCTGCCCCGCAGGCTCCCTCCAGGCTGAGTTCATGGCCCTGCCCCCTGGTGGCCAGAGCCGGCTTCACAGGATAAGAGCCAGGGAAGCTCCAGGGGCTTTCCAGGAAAAGTGAACCTTGGAAAGGGTATGGCCTTTTCACCGCTCCCAACAGCACCCTAGAAATGGCTTGGCCTCTCCCCTCCCCTGAGCTCCACAGAGAACACAGCCAGCAGAGGACACATTTCCCCGCCATCCAGAAATGGGTGTGAGGGACAGCAGGACTGGTAGAGACTTGTCAGGCCACACAGCTGCCTGCACAGC